TGTTGCTTGCTGGGGCCTGGCTTCCCCGTCCCCGTCCCGGTCGGAGCAGCTGTTTCCCCGGGGGGGCGGGAAAGCGACGGCTCCGGCCGGCATCCAGATGGAGGGTTAAAGGGAGAAAGCACGGTTGAACCTGGGCTGCTTTAGCGGAGGTGTCCTTTTAACCGTGACCACAGCGTTTTCCGTGTATGGCTACTCTGAGGGTGAGTCGTAATGCAGTAATTACTGGGGTTTCCTTAGGCTGGGTTTTTTTCTTTTCCTGCTCTTGCCCACTTGTTTGGAGGGAAATTTGTTCGCTTTTCCCTCTCTTAAAGGGAGAAAGCACGGTTGAACCTGGGCTGCTTTAGCGGAGGTGTCCTTTTAACCGTGACCACAGCGTTTTCCGTGTATGGCTACTCTGAGGGTGAGTCGTAATGCAGTAATTACTGGGGTTTCCTTAGGCTGGGTTTTTTTCTTTTCCTGCTCTTGCCCACTTGTTTGGAGGGAAATTTGTTCGCTTTTCCCTCTCCCGAGCTAATTGCTGCTTTTGAACTTCGTATACCTGCGCGCCGATGCCAGCGTCTGTGGAGTACGCATCTTTAGTTGCTGCAGACATAACATTATTTTGCTAATAGAACTGCAAAAATACAGACTATAGTCGAGCTTTAATTGTAAAAAAAGCTAATTCCTGACTCTGCAAGGTGAATGCTTGCTCCTCCAGAGGGGCACACGCAGACTGCAGGTGTTGGTATAATGAAGAGCTCAATCTCCCCGACCGTTTCCTGTCACAGGACTGCTTGCAGTAGCTTATTACTTGACATACATTCTGCTAACTTGGGTTTAGTATCATCCGGCATTAATATTAATTATTAATCTCACCTCAAATATACTGGGAAAATCCCATACCTAGCTACTCTATCTTTGCAAAAGTAATTTCTGTGACTGTATTTGGGTTGCATTCATTTAACATAAGTGTCATTCAGTGACCTTTTCTCATTTGAGTAGTCTTTACTTGGCCAGTGAATCCTTTGGCATCGACCTGAGAAAGTCCAGCAGAGTCAGGCTCAGGCTCTTTTAATCACTTAACTCTCATGGAGGTTTTGAGGAGCGTGTGGCATCTCCGTGTAAGATTTATGCAACTGTTACCGTGTTCAGGGTTTCCTTTGCTGTTTGTTTTCAGACTAGGAAAGCAAAAGGATCTTGCTCTGGTTAACTTCTAGGTTTTTTAATGGGACTCATCTAGTGTATTGTGAGGAAAATTGGGTCTGTTCCAGCAAACCGCTTTCTTCATGGAATAGTCTCATTACATGTTTGAATGGAAATACTAGCTTCAGTAAGATCAGGCAGGTTTGTCACCCTTGAAAAAGTACAGTTGCCAAGGCAGCTCACTGTCTATGCGATAATTCTATCCAAAAGGAACTCGTTTTTAATATGGCAGCTTCTCATAAAATGTGGTACGAAGAGAAAACATATTAACTCTCTTTCAAGTCAGACAATTTCCTATGCATAAAAAAGTTGATCTCAGTTTTCCACCACTCATAACTTCTATAAAGTCAGAAGGAGATTTTCTTCAGTTAAGTTCAGGAGCAGACTGCCCAGCTGAGGTTTCTGTCTGAATGCAAAATGGGTTTAACAATAATAATTAATAGCATTAATTATACTTGCAACATGTGCTTTTCATGTAGTAGGAATCGAATGCCTGAAACCTGGGTGAATATTCTGAGGGAGAATGGATTATATGATCACAGATGTTCCTTATATTCTCAATTAGTCTACATTAAAACTGTATATAGTTACTTCTAATGGCAAAATCAGACTTGTCAGCTAAACCAGTACTGTTTGAAGCAAAAAACAATTGGGCAGTAACATCTACAAGAAACATATGTAGTTAACACCTCTAGCTACTTCAAGATGAAAGTAGAGATTAGCACTAGACCCCTCTTAATGTTTGTAAATTGAGGAGTGCGGTTACTGCAGTTTGAGGCTGAAGACGGAGGTAGGTAAGGCTAAGGATAAATAAGGAGTTGCCTTCATTAAAGCGGGAGCGGGGAAGAGGGATGGGGGGAAATGAGAAAGATCAAATTAATGACCTGTGATAAATCCAGAATAGAACTGTTTGCATTAAAAAGGAGTGCATTGTGAACTTGTTTGTGCGTGTTTTGTGAAGGGAAGGGGAAATTTGTCATCTTGTTTTGAAGAGCCATACATAAATACACATGAAAGGAGTTCACATGGTTTACAGCAGGGAAGACATAAAATGTTTTAGGATTAAATTGACCTGAGCTAATGTATGCCTCGCATCTAACTTGTTTGCAGGAAGACATTGTTACACTATGCAAACAAATGTTTTTGTGTATAGTACCTGATTCCCATACGCTATAGTAGAGTGCTGAAAACAAACAACAGAGTAAATCCTGGAAAATAGCATTCTACTATATTAGACTCAGCATATGCAAGAAGGAAGTTGAACCATAGAAAACCAGAAGTTTTCACTGTCTGCATTTGATACAGATCTGCAATGTTTTACCTACTACTATTCCTTCATTAAGGAGCTTCCTTAAATTTAAGTCTTAGCAGAGTAAACATGCCCCCCCCGAGTAGTTTTTATGAGTGTGAAGGGAGTTGCTCAAGTCTTTTTCAAATAGGGAAGGTTTTTCGTGTTTATTCCCTAGTCTAAAAATACTGTTCTCTGGTGGGACTTAGTCCTTACAGAGGACCTGAAACTATGGTGCAAGTGCTTTTGCTATGGATCAGACCTTTAATGTTAATTCAGACCTAGGTCTGTGTGTTCTGGAGTAAGTGATGTCTGACTTGGGCCTACAACAAATTGTGGCAAACTTCCTGTCTCTCTTTTGCCTGACAGGGCAACAGAAAAACGGGAGGAAGAAGCAATGCTTTATACTGGTGATCCTTTGAGTTAATCATCGTTAATTCTGTTTATCAGCGCTACCCTGAGGTGGGTGAGGCATGTATGGAGATAATCTTGGCAGTAAAATACAGCTGGTATTAGTATAGAGTGCAGTTGCTGACCAATAACATACAGCAAAAATCAAGAGTGATTAGAGACCAAATCAAGCAGCTGGGGGAAACTGGGGGCCTGAGCCTGAAAGCTATCTATAGGAATATTTTTATTATGAGTTTCACTGAACAGCTTATATGTGTATAGGGTCTGGGCAAGCAACAGTTAACTTCCTAGTTAAGCTGCAACCTTGGCAAATCAGGGTCTGCATGTCTTTTTTTTTTTTTTTTTTTGATTGGAGGGATTGATTCATTCTGAGCTTTTGTACAGAAGGAGAGAAAATTTACTCTTTTTTTACATCTAGTTTAACTATGGGTGTTGGTTTAATTGTGTACATCTTTAAAAAGCAGCAGAGCTCTGGAAGTTCTGAATTAACATTTTTATTGCCTTTAAACTACAAAATTGCCACATATGGGAACTGCAAGGGAAATCAGTGCAAAATG